CGCGAACGGAGTAGACGTGTGCGAATGTGCTCTTCATATTTTGCTAATTTTTATTGAAAGTATCAGTTTTTTACTGCTGAAACTTGTGTCATATATGTAGTGCAGGGCGCAGTGCTCGGAGGAGTATTATCTTCTAGTAAAATCAATTGTTTGATAACTAATAATTGAAATCTCTTTATCGAAATTTTTGTCGGAAATTGGAAAGTAAGTGACTGTGCCGGGCTGACTCAGCTTTTTTGGGGTCGACACACCGTGACGACATTGTTGCTGTGGCAACGACGTTTGTGTGTTGATGTTGTTCTTTTAAATTTTTTAAAGTCGATAAAGAAGAATTTAAATTATCGCACGAGGATGAGCAAATATGGATGTAACACGGACTGACAAGCAAATGATATGTAAGCAATGTAGAAAGGAGATAAAAACGCAGTTTATAAAATGTATACCTTGTGAGAAAGTATTTCATCCAAGCTGTCATAAATTACATAAAGTATATAATTCGGCAAATGAACTGGTTACCTGTACTGGTAAATACGAGATACTCACTATAAAATTTAATAATACTGGAGAAGAGAGTTCGGTGAAGCAACGCAAATCATCGAATGTAGAAGAAGGACCTAACATGGAGTCAAAGATAGATTGGTTGGTGAGAAAAATTAGGGATGAAATGATTAGTAAAAATGATATAAAGAATATAATTACAAGTATAGTTAGAGATGAATTAGAAGGCTTCAAGAAAGAAATGGAGGAAATGAAGAAAATGTGGAATATTATGTCAACTGGAGATGCCTCGCGTAGTTATAGCGAAGCAGTTAAAGAGGAAAAAAAGGAAAATGTTATTATAATAAAACCAAAGGAGCAACAAGAGAGTGAGAAGACAAAAAAAGTGGTAAAGGAGAACATCGATATCAAGAATATGTCAATAGGTGTGTCTAAGCTGAGAAAAGGAGGTAGAGGAGCAGTTATTTTGGGATGTGAAAGCAAGCAGGAATTGAAACAATTAAAATCAAATGTTGTGAGTAAATTAGGTGATAAATATCAAATAATAGAGCCAAAAGGTGCACAGCCGAAGTTAAAAATTTTAAATTTGGAGGAAGAAGAAATAAACTGTAACGAGGATCAAATAGTAGATATGATAATAAAACAGAATCATTTGGATGAAGAAAGAAGAGGATTACATATTAAAATTTTGAAAAAGATAATTAGAGGAAGACAAAGTGGAAACAGTAATTCGGCCAGAGCCAAGAAGGAGTATGGTATGCTGATAGTTGAAGTGGATACGGCAACGCATGAGAAAATGTTAAAAAAGGAAAAAATAAATATTGGATGGAGGAAATGTCATGTTGTTAATTATATTAACGTGAAGAGATGCTACAATTGTTGGGGATTTTATCACATTGCAAAGAACTGTACACGGCCGATAACATGCTCGAAATGTGCAGGCGATCATAAGGATAGTGATTGTAAAACTAAGAAAGAAAGGTGTATAAATTGTATATATAAGAATAAAACTTATAACTTAAAAATAAATGAAGAACACAGGGCTCTGAGTAGAGAATGCCCGACATTCAAAAAAGTGCTAGAAGAAGAAAAAAAGAAAGTCGGATGGGAAAATGATGATTAGCAATTAAAGAATAGTAATGCAGAAATAATGTATACAAATGCGCAAAGTTTGGTGGAACATAAGGATGAGATCTTCCATCAAATAATGAAGAAAAGAAATCCGGCAGTAGTTGCGTTATCGGAGACGAGAGTGGATGCCAACATAGAAGATTTTGAGATAAATATTAGAGGCTACAATCAAGTGAGATGTGATGCTGAAAATAGGTATACCGGAGGAGTAGTTGTTTACATTAGAAATGACATTAAATTTGAAACTGTAATGGTAAAGAACGTCATAGGAAATTGTTGGTGTGTTGTGATAGGTCTGTTTGAAAAATGGTACAAAGGTACAATTGTAATATTATACCATTCACCTAGTGCACCTGATGGAATTTTTATAAAGTTTATTGAGGACTTAATTGAAGATTTGGTAATAAAAGAAAAGTGTATAGTAATAGGAGACTTTAACATAGATTTAAGGTTAGATACGTTTTATTCAAATAAGTTAAAAAATGTTATGTCATGTCTAGGTATGAAACAATGTGTTAATCAACCAACAAGGGTGACAATTAATAGTTGTACTCTTATAGATTTAGTTTTTGCGAACTTGAATTTGAGTGAGTGTGTAACTGTAGTAGAAAACCCGAAAATTACGGATCATTCATGGATAAGAATTGAATTTAAGACAAGGCAAGATGAAAATTGTTATAAAGAATTTAGGGGAAGAGCATACAAAAGAATGAATATAGAGAATTTTATTAGTGAATTGCAACGGAGCGTGGTTAATAATTGCGAACTAGACATAAATGAAAGGGCCAGTAGTTTTGTTAAAAATATAGTGGCGGCGTTAGATGTTGTTGCACCCGAAAGAACATTTCAAATGCCAAAGGCATGGGAAGGGAAAATATGGTTTACGGATGACATAGAAAGGGCATCAATTGCTAGAGATAGGGCATACGGGAAAGCAGTTTATACGGGTTTAAAACAGGATTGGCAGCAATATAAGATTGAAAGAAATGTAGTTGTTAAACTTATAAAGTATAAGAAGAAACAATATTATGAAAATATGATTGATGCCAATAAGACAGATTCGAAAAGAATGTGGAAGACATTGAAAGAAGTATTGAAAGGAGAAGTGTTGGATGTAAAAGTTATTGATAGGTTAGATTTCGAGGGTGTTATTACAAATGAGGGAATAAATATAGAGGACAATTTTAATGAGTATTATATTAATAGTATCGTTAATATTATAAATAGTATTAAAAAAGTAGATGATCAAAGAAGTACTAGGAGAACAATGCATACTTGTGAGAATATAGAAGTATTAGAATATTTTAATCCTATTAATGCGAATGAATTGGAAACGGTCGTGATGAATCTTCCGATTAAAAAAGGGACAGAGGAAGGAATAAGTGTGGATGTGTTGAAAATTGCTTTTTGTGCAATCAAAGATGAATTTACAGAAGTAATAAATAAGTCGCTAATGATAGGTGAATGTCCGAACAGCTGGAAGACATCCACGATAGTTCCAATTCCAAAAATTAAAAAACCTATAAAAGCTAGTGATTATAGACCAATTAACGTTTTGCCAATATATGAGAAGGTATTAGAATTAGTGGTCAAAGATCAAATAGGAAGATATTTAGAGGCAAATGAAGTGTTGACGGAACATCAATCTGGATTTAGAAAATCACATTCATGTGAAACGGCAATACAGGGAATAATAGATGAATGGAAAGTAGAAATTGATGAAGGAAAAATAGTAGGGGTCATATCTATGGATTTAAAAAGAGCATTTGAGACTGTTGATAGAAACAGATTATTAGAAAAATTGTACCAAATAGGGATAAGGGGTAAGGTGTGGCATTGGTTAGAGTCATATCTAAAGAATAGAACACAGAAAGTTAGATTTAATAGTAACTATTCCAAAGTGATGGCAATAGACCATGGTGTTCCGCAGGGATCGGTATTAGGGCCGTTACTTTTTGTGTTGTATATTAATGATATAACTGAAGTATGTCCAATAGGAAGTAATGTAAAATTGTTTGCGGATGATACGATGATTTATGTAACAGGAGAATGTAGTGAGGAAATTAATAAAAAGATGAATGATGTATTTCATAAAATAGAAAACTGGATGAGCCTAAATAAACTAAAATTAAATGTAGAGAAAACAAAGTATATGATAGTTAGAAGTAATAGAAAGGAAGTTAAAGGGCAAATAAAAATAGTATGCATGAATGGTGAAGTGTTAAAACGAGTGGAAGTAATAAAATACTTAGGCATAATGATTGATAGTAGGCTCACTTTTGTTGAACATTGCGATTATATGTTGAAAAAGATAGGTAAGAAAACTAGCTTTTTGAACAGAATGGGTCAATATTTAACACCGTATAGTAGACAAATAGTATATAAGACAATTATCGCACCGCATTTTGAGTATTGTGCAACAGTGATTGTGGGCATGGGCGAGACGCAAATTAATAAATTGCAAGTGGCACAGAATAGAGCTATGCGAGTGATTTTGCAATGTAAAAGAAATACCAGGGTGGAACATATGCTGCAAGCCTTGCAATATATGTCAATAAGACAGAGGATATATTATAATACATGCATATTTATATTTAAGATATTAAAAGGTTATCTACCACGTATGTTAAGAAATAGGCTAGATTTAGTAGGAGAGAATTATCAGAGGGAAACTAGACAAAAGGGTAACATAGTTGTACAATTGCGTAAAACTTGTCAAGCGCAGAGGAGTGCTTTTTATAAAGGCACTAAAATGTACAATGACTTACCTGCAGAGGTAAAGCAATGTGAAAGACTAAATAGTTTCAAGAGAATGTTAAAAGATTATGTTACACAAATGGTTCCAAAATTGTAATGTTATTTGTATAGTTATTTGTATAATAGTAGCCGAGAAGGCTAAATAAAGTGTAATCAATCAAATCAAAAAAAATCTCTCTCTCTCTCTCTCTCTCTCTCTCTCTCTCTCTCTCTCTCTCTCTCTCTCTCTCTCTCTCTCTCTCTCTCTCTCTCTCTCTTTCTCTCTCTCTCTATCTCGTTCTGTCGCTTCTTTATACATTAAGTTTGCCAAATTTGTTAATTTCTATAAATCGATTGAGGTATTTTTGAAATTTTTTTTTCCAAAAATGTAGTGCGTAAAAATTTTATAATAATGCATAAATTAAGTTTTTTATAAACAATAATAATTTTTAAATTGCTGCAAAACAATTGACATCAGATTTAAATATGTACAAATTAAAGTAAAAATATGAGATACACACATCTAATAAAATGAGAGATATATGAGAGATACATAAATGTATACACTTATACATCACATATTAAATTAGATATTATAATCCTGATAAGGATAAATATAAGATTATATATTTTCATCAGACAAACTTTTTGTGTGATGGTTCATTTTTTCATAATTAATGTTTTTCCATAAAAAAATTGTTCTTGACATGGTACAGTTATTCAAACCTGTAATCGTTTTATGTCGAAGTTTTGGAAAAACATTTGCAATTCTGACAGAAACGCTTCAATAGCTGTTCCATGATTGTCCTTTTACACACGAATATGATGAACATAATGACATCTTGTATAATATCCAACACAAACATACTACGTATGTACAACATTGTAATATTATCAAACGGCCAAAATTCGAACGCTATTGTTATAATCCAATTTATGGATATTATAATAAACAGCATGATAAACAGTCTCAGATACAGATTTAACCTGCAAATGAATATATCTCTTATATATTTTTTAAAGTTATAATATATTTAATTCTAAAAGTATCTTATAAGCGGATGTATTTTAAATAATTTGTTTCATAAAGATAAATATTTCCTTCGAAAAAATCAGAAATATTTCACATTATTAAATATTTTTCAATAACTATATAATAAACTACTAACTTAAATTAAAATTGAAAACAACGATGTCTTTGTACAAGAGAACTCGTATTTATACTCGTATTTATTGTCGCCAATAAAGAAGTCTCAAAATGATTATCTCTCTCCTTTTCTTATATCGGAAATGATCAAAAAAGCAATTGATTTTATTAAAAGCAATACCATTGACAAGTGAATACAGCGGCATATATCTTATTGTTAAACAAGACTGATTATATATTGATATAAAAATGTTTGTGTACAAACCATCGCTTGTTGTCATTATAAAATCTGCTTTCTGAATCTCTCAGATGACGGGTTGTGTCCTTTTCATAACGCATAATTTTCAATGCTGTGTAAATAGATAAGCAAATGCTACTAATAATACAGACACTATGCGGTCCGTAAAAATACAATTGAAACGCCGCACTCTCTGAAATAAATAATAAACTTCTGTACATCATGTGTTACAAATAAAAACATACTTTTATTTTTAAAATGAAATTTCAAAGGGTTCATTAATTAGATGTTTTGTAATAGAGTTATGTTAATAGTGATATACACTCACCATAAAACCAAAGACTATGGACACAAAATTCCGGTTGAATTACGTTTTTCGGCTCGTTGGGAACGATATCCATGATAATACAAATGATAGTAAAAATGAAGGTACCTCCCCAAGCAAAGATAGAATATATTAATTTTTTTCTCTCTTGTTTCACTCTCTTGTTTCTTTGTAACAAGCGAAAATCTCTACGAAATGCAGAGTTTACAATTAATTAGTAACAAACAAATATGCAATGCAAATATTAAAATAAATATGCCTTCCTTCAAATATCTTGAATGTTCGTTTATATAAACTATAAAAAAATGATTTATGCCATATAATGTCTCAAAATAATAAATATTACCACATATTCAAATATATCGATATTTTACTAACATTAGATCAATTTTGATTTAGCAAAATGTTTAATAAAAAAAATTAAAAATCAATTTCCGTTAAAAAGCTTGAGTATTTTGTATTATTATATAAAAAAGAGAACAAAAATTTTAAACGATATTGGCTTACGATATATAGTATAAAATTTTAACATATGAGAAATTACGAAAAGGTTAGTAATATTGTATTATAAATTTTGAAATTATACTATGAATTTTTTAATAATTTATTATAACTTTAATAATAATTTAAAACATGTTATTTTAATATATTATTTTTTCTTTAACAATCGAATGCGTGCTTATAAAATACGCATCAATTCATTGTTTTAAAAAAGAAAGTTTTAAATTTCCAACAAAAAAAATGTACATGATTCTGAAATGCACACCTGTGTTACATCAGCATTAAAATTATTGTCTCTCAAGCCAAATAATAATTTTTATAATGTCAATTAACAAGATCTGATATGTTCTTTCCCATTAAAGCAAATCATTATTCTTTTTTATCTTTATGGATTGTTATAAACATAATCTCAATGTATTATATATACACATTATATATGAATATTTTATCATATCATGTTCTTGTCGTATAAGAAATATCACAATCTTATAAAAATAAAATTATATTGTATGTTATATATATATATATACATATATTAAATAATTTACCTAAATGTCCACCAAATGTCGAAACTCATTACACTTAACCAGAAAGTACTTGAGAAAAAACAGAAATAGTTGATTAAAGCTGCAAAAATAAAATAAACAATTTTAAAATGTCACTAATTTGCAAGTATTTTGCATATCATTAAGAACTTTATTATATTATAAAAAGTTTTCCTTCAACTTTAACAGTAGAATTTATCACAGAAAATAATATAATTAATTAATACATGCTAATATTAAATTTAATAGTGTTTTGATATCAGAAATATATAACTCAAAATTTGAATATTTGAATATTATGAAAACAATATTATTCAAAGTAATTTAAATTGTGTTTTACGTTAAAGTCTGATAAAATATTAAGTTAATTTTTTCATTATTAATTCTTATTTATAATATTTTAATGTATCATACATTCAAGTTTTATCGCAAAAAAACTAATAAAAATTAAATATCAATGTATTTTTATTAATGTACGATATACTAAAACTTTATAAACACAAGAATTAATAGTGAAAAAAATTAAAATAATATTTTATTTTATTTTGACGTACAATAAAATTGAAATTACTTCGTCTAAATATTTTTTTGGTATAAAAATTAATAAAAAAAACTAATGTATACAGCATTGACTTGACCGCATTATTACATTTGGCTGTACTGTACCAATTATAACACAGATGAAATATGAATAATCTATTATGTTGATTGGATTGAATTGGAAACTTATAGTGTCAACTATGTATCCGAAAAATAACAAACTGCAGTATTTGCGCAGCATGAAACTATGTATGTTATGAAATTCCGGCAGTATAGAATACACCACAAATATTGTCAGCAAACACAACATAGACACTATGCGACAACTCAAAAATAAAAATCTTAATTCGTTTGAGATTTCATTTATCAGATCGTTTATCATGTTATCCTTTTTTTTATCGATTGTTTCATTCACAGCTTCCAAGCAGATAATTGCATCGAACTGATTATGATCCACGATGGCCAAACAATAAGATGTTGATTCAACAAATATGTCGAAATAAGGAAGATACAGAGAGCTGTTTGCGAAAAACATATACTTCAAGTACTTGAAATAATAGTCCGGATAAAGAAGAAAACGTATAGTTTCCTGACACGGATTTTGAATGATTAGTGGAAAAAGCTCGTCCACCTTCTTATTTTCGCTCTGTATCGAATTGTTCGAGTAGCTATATATGTTTGGCAAAATATATTCATTTTCACTAGCAATGCAATTTTCAACCAAGCGATCACCAAGCGGACAACAGAGTTGAATGCAAGTAATATTGTCACATTTTTCGTATGAAACAATGTGATTTTTATTATTATTATTATTCGTTTCGTTTTTAATAAAATTCGTATGATTATATGTCTCCTCCCATATGTTGTTCTCTTTGTTGTCACTTGTAAAGTTTCGCAGAGTCGTTGAAGATGAAGTGAAACGTAAAATTATAAAAAGCCAAAATGCAAAACTTTCACCGCACATCGTTAACAATTTGAGAACTCAATTTAATTTTTTTCTAATCAGCAATTTTTTAATTTGATATGTTAGGACTACAGCGAATTTTTCAAAATGCGGATGATATTGTTCGTCTGCGATGATTAAGTCACGACACAACACTGTCTATTTAAAGAGAAAACTTGTATAACCAGTTATTTTAAAATAGAAGAGACATTCGCGCGAATAATAAGATGCGATCATCATCGACTTGCTAATGAAACAATTTATTTATTTTAAAATATACTGCATATATACGATACTTTGTAGAAAAAACTTTATTGCTAAGCTACAGATTCAAAAATACTATGATATTTAATAATTATATGAAGTTACAGATAGATAATGAAAACTTTTTTACTTATATTAAATATACCATATGATTGAAAAATTTATCTTGTACAACAATTAAAATCACAATTACAGTAAAAAAATTTTATTCATTTTTTTTATCTCACATTATACATGATGATATATCTATTTAAATGGAAATTATGGAATTCTATGCAAAATCCGGTTTGTAGTTATTTACATATCACGTATAATCGGAGGATTTACACCCGGAAACAATTAATTAAATATATTTTTAGGATATTAGGGATAGAATGATGGTCCAAATAATGCCGACTATTTTTGATTGATATTTTTTAATTTTTCGAGAAAAAACATTTTTATTCGCATAGAATTCTTCAAAATAATACAATTATACAGGAAATGTAATGTACAAATTGTGTATCGTTTTAGATATAAAAATCGTACATCTAGAAGAATATAAGTCAAATATCATTTAATACCATTTATTTAAATTCGATAAATTAATTGATTTATGTATTTAACAACTCATACATTATGATGTATTCATATGTGATATATGATAAATTATTTATAAACTTATTACATTATTTTATAAACTTATATAAAAAATATTTATATGTAATTATACATATAGATATTAATGAGACATATAAAAGTTATAAAAAGAAGAATAAAATTAAATGATGACAGTTGTGTGTACTCACAATAAAATAGGCAATAGACTCATAGAAAAAAAGTAATAATAAATTTCGAGAAGAATTTGATTCAAATAGCAATTTAACATACTTTCTTTAATAATTAATTTTTGGAGAATTAATTTTTCATACATATTATACACTTATAAATATTATATTATTTAATGCAATTTACAAAAATATTCAAATGCAAATCGTCCTCAAGAGCATAATATTATATGATAAAGCATTTATGGTGTTGATGGCACACGTAAAATAGAATTATATGAAAATAAATTGAATCGAACATAAAGAACTTTAAACAACGGATACATTTAAAATAGTCGTGTTCAAATATTTTTATAATTGATTTGAATCAAGCGACGCGACGCCAAATACATAAAAAATAGATAAGAAACTGGATCCGAACATTGAGAGTCACTGTTCTCGACGCGACGCTATCAAGTAGCTTATCCGGAATTTTACATTAAATAAACTTTCGACTAAAATATTTCAGAAACTAAAGCCGTAATCAAAATGTCTAACGGCACTTTCGATTGCGACCAGTTTGAATAAAATTGGTGCAGTCAATCCCGAGAAATGATAATCGTATGTCAGAATAGTGACATTTATCATTTCCCTTCAAAATAAAATTCAGGGTCATGAACGTATCTTAGCACGCACACATTCAAAGCAATTTTGCTCCTCAAGCTGCGTTCACACCGCGCATATATGATTATTCTCTTTAGTGTGCAAAAATGCTTTAAGAGTCAAAACAATTTATGTACATGTGTGTGTATACGTGTGAGAGATTAATTTATCGGATAACAATTTTCAAAAATTTCTTGGGAGTGAAATATTTCGAAAACGAGGTATCACAAAAATATAAAAACTGTGCCGTTAAATGACTTCTAAAAAGACTAATTTATACTATATTTATTATTATAACAATATTCAAAAACCACCTCTTGGGAGTGAACTCTAATATCTAGAAAAAAAAGTTTCGTAAAAATACTTGATTTACGTCCCTAATTAGGATTTTTAAAACTGCATATATATTTTTTGCAGAAATAATAGAAATTTTTACAAAATGTGGTATCCTTCTAGAAACAACTTTAAAGGTAAAAGAAAGACGACGATTTTTTAAAGATATATATATATATATATATATATATATATATATATAAATATCTTTAAAAAATCTAGTATATATTTTCTATAAAAATAATGTAAATTTTTACAAAAAAAAAAACGATGATATCCTCTTAAAAAAAGCTTATAAAGGTAAAAAAGTACGCCAAACACATGAAAAAAAAACCTTTAAAATCAAAAAATCTAAAAGAGCGATAAAAATAAAATATTTAAAAACTGATATGAGAACAATACTATTAACTCTCTCTCTCTCTCTCTCTCTCTCTCTCTCTCTCTCTCTCTCTCTCTCTCTCTCTCTCTCCCCCCCCCCTCTTTCTCCTCGTGATTATAGGCCTATTAATATGTTACCAATATTGGAGAAAGTGTTAGAATTAGTAGTTAAAGAACAATTTGAAATGTACTTGGAAATTAACGATATTATAACAGAACATCAGTCGGGGTTTAGAAAATACTATTCGTGCGAAACAGCGATCCAAACTGTCATTGATGAATGGAAATTGATAGTAAGTGATAGAAAAATGGTAGGAGTAATTTTTATGGACCTTAAGAGAGCGTTTGAAACAATAGATAGAGAAAGATTATTAGAAAAAATGTATTATTATGGAATTAGAGGAATGGCTTTGGAATGGTTCAAATCATATTTAAATAATAGGAAACAGCAAATGCGAGTCAATCAAGCGTGGTCTGAAATATTGACAACAGAGTACAGAGTGCCACAAGGTTCGGTACTAGGACCTTTACTATTTATAATATATATAAATGATATAATCGAAGTCTGTCCAGAAGGGTGTAATATTAAAATGTTTGCAGACGACACGCTTATATATGTAAATGGAGAAAATAGCGCGGATATAGAGGTAAAATTGAATACGGTTTTTAATATAATTGAACGTTGGATGAATATAAATAAGTTAAAAATGAATGCTAATAAAACGAAATATATGATAGTTAGAAGTAGTCGAAAAGAATTGAAAGGTAATACGGTTTTGAAATGTCTGGATGGAATTGAAATAGAACGAGTGAAAAATATGAAATATCTAGGTATAATTATTGATGACAGACTTCGATTTCAAGATCACTGCGATTATATGCTAAAGAAAATAGGTAAAAAAACAAGTTTCTTAAATAGAATAGGTAATTATATATCAGTCTATACTAGATGCATTATATATAAGACAATTATAGCTCCTCATTTTGAGTATTGCGCGACGCTATTAATAGGCATGGGGGAGACACAGATAACCCAATTGCAGAAGGTACAAAACAGAGCTATGAGGGTAATACTTCAATGTGATAGATACACCAAAGTGGATGACATGCTAGAAGCGTTGCAATTTATGTCAGTAAGACAAAGATTGCAATATAATATATGTATATTTATTTTTAAGATATTAAATGATTTGCTGCCAACTCAATTAAGGAATAGGTTGCAGATAGTAGGGAAGGAATGTGATAGGGAAACAAGACAAGCGGGTAATATTGAACTGCAGTTTAGGAAAACAAAGTCCGCGCAAAAAAATTTGTTTTATGAAGGCATAAAAATATATAATGTCCTGCCAGAGGAAGTTAAAAATTGCGATAGGCTAAAATTGTTCAACAGTAGGCTTAAGGCGCATATTCTCACAATGTAAAATATGTAAGTTTAAATGTATATGAAAATAGCTGAGAAAGCTAATAAAAGCTCATCAATCAATCAATCAATCTCCCTCTCTCCCTCTCCCTCCCTCCCTCCCTTCCTCCCTCTGATGCTGTCGTTCTTCTTTATACATTAAGTTTACCAAAATTGTTAATTTCTTTTATAAATTGATTTATTTTTGAAATTTCTTTTTTCAAAAAAGTAATGTAAAAATTTTATAATAATGCATAAAATTAGTTTTTTATAAAAAATAATAATTTTTAAATTGATGCAGAACAACTGATACATTTAAATATGTACAAATTAAAGTAAAAATATGAGATACACGCATCTAATGAAATTAGAGATATATGAAAGATACCTAAATGTACACATTTATGCATCACATATCAAATTAGATATTCTAATCTTGACAAGGATAAATATATACATATAACATTATATATACTCATTAGACAAAACTTTTGTGTTACGGTTCGCTTTTCCATAATTAATGTTTTTCCATAAAAAAAATTGTTCTTGACATGGTAAAATTATTCAAACCTGAAATCATTATGTCGAAGTTTTGGAAAAACATTTGCAGGATATATGTATATGTATATGATTATTGCAATGTATATGATTGTTCATATTTTCAACGATTTTTTATAATAGATATATTACAATTCATTTAATATCATTGTTCTTTTAATATTGAAAATAAAAACGAAATATGTATATTTTATAGTGAAAATTTTTATTCAGTTGGCGCAACTTTTTAATATTATTTGTAGAAAATTAAAACAATTATTTTGTACAATTCTTTTAGTTAAAATATTTTAAGTTTTTATTTTCAATAAGCGTAAATTTTTTGATATTATTATTTTTGTAGAATATACAATACAGTAGTTTTTTTATAGTTAATAATACACTATTTTGCAAATACATATACTGTTTTTTGCGGACTTAGCATCTTTTTTTCCTTTTTTTTTTAAAGGGTTATTTTTTTAGGGATATATATATATATATATATATATATATATATATATATATATATATATATATATAGGATTTAGGAAGTCAGAGCTATCTGTTTCGAAAAAAAGCTCTTTTAGCTTACTTCAAGTGCTTTTCAAAACACTATCATAAAGTATTTTTTCATCGAGTATTTTTCGAGTTATGATGCTTGAAATAATTTTTTAATTTTTACATAAATCATAAACTATCTAGTAAAATATTAATTTTTCGATTATTACTTTAATACTTTTATACTTACTTTAGTACTTTTATGTACAAAATAATGAGGGAAATCCATTGATGTAAAGAAAACACATAATTGTTTTGAAGAAAAAATATGTAATTGATAATTGCAAATTTATCTTGTCACAATTCACCATTCACAATTCCACCATGTTTTATTCTATTGTGCGCATTCATAATAAGCATTTGCTTCTCAAGAGAAATATACAGTTTTGAGCTTTTTAACTAGTACACTTTTTAACTGGTACACCCGAAATCAACATTTTGTGTCAAAACTGGTGAGAGCAAATAAATTCGTATTTTACATGAAAGTTTATCTGTAAGATGTTTTTTGCGTCGCTGGTGACATTTCAAAATTCAAAATGGCAAATTTAATATGGCGGACTAATTTTATTTTATTATGGAGAAGATCAAATTCGATATGTTCGCGTTTTTCGAGTCTCTTATTATGAAATATAGACAAAATTGCAAAATTTAAACTGGGAGATCCAATATGGCGGTTTCTAGTGATTAACTTTGATATTCTATTATGGAAATATATCACACTCGGTACGTTTTTTGGTCACAGATAACGATAATTATAATGATCTGATTAGTTGAAGACAGTTAAACTTGAACATATCGAATTTGAATCTTCTCTAATGGAATAACAAATATAATAATAAAATAACAAAATTAATTCATCATACTTAATCCGCCATTTTGAATTTTAAAATTTTGATTCTAAAATTGTCATCGGCGACCCGAAAAATGTAGGTGTATTAAGTTTCATGCAAATCCGTTGAAAATTGGCAAATTCATTCATAGTGGACATATATGGACCATTACCAGTTGTGGCACTTTTGTTTTTGGCCATATATGGGCCATTACCAGTGAATTGGTTAATATCGAATCTATCTATAGTAGAACTTGTTATTATTCTCTGGTTCTTCTTTATACATAAAGTTTGCCAAAAATATTAATCTCTATAAACCGATTAAAGTATTTTTGAAATTTTTCTTTTCCAAAAAAAGTAATACGTAAAAATTTTATAATAATGCATAAAATTTGTTTTTTATCAAAAATAACAATTTTTAAATTTCTGCAAAACAACTGACATCACATTTAAATATGTACAAATTAAAGTAAAAATATGAGATATACACATCTAATGGAATTAGAAATATATGAGAGATACATAAATGTACACACTTATACACACACATCACATATTAAATTAGATATTATAATCCTGATAAGGATAAATATAAGATTATATATTTTCATCAGACAAACTTTTTGTGTGACGGATGTTGCTTTTCCATAATTAATATTCTTCCATAAAAAATTGTTCTTGGCATAGTACAGTTATTCAAAATTGTAATCGTTTCATGTCGAAGTTTTGGAAAAACGTTTGCAATTCTGACAGAAACGCTTCAATAGCTGTCGCATTATTGTCTTCTTACACACGAATATGATGAACATACCGATATCTTGCATGGTGTGCATCACATACATACTACGATGGACGTACAACAGTTTAATGAACAAATTAACGTCGTAATCATCAAATTGCCAAAATCCGTTCGATGATATAATCCAATTTATGGCTATTATGATAAACAACATAATAAACAGTCTCAGATATAGATTTAGCCTGCAAAAATATATATCTAAATATATATCTATAAATATATATCTTTTATTTTTTTTAAAGTTATGATATATTTGATTCTAAAAGTATATTATGAGCGGACGTATTTTAAGTAATTTGTTTCATAAAAATAAATACTTCCTCCGAAAAAACCATCAGTATTTTACATTATTAAATATATTTAAATAACTATATAATAAATACTACTAACTAAAATTAATTTTAAAAACAACGATGTGTTTGTACAAGAGAGCTCGTATTTATGAAAAGATGTTGTCGCCAATAAAGAAATATCAAAATGATTATCTCTCTCATTCTCTTGCCGGAGATGATAAAAAATGCAACTGATTTTATTAAAAGCAATACCGTTGACAAGTGAATACAGCGGGACATGCCTTATTACAGTTAAACAAAACTGATTATACATTGATATAAAAATGTTTGTGTACAAACCATCGCTTGTTGTCATTATAAAATCTGCTTTCTGAATCTCTCAGACAACGGGCTGTGTCCTTTTCATAACGTATAATTTTCAATGTTGTATAAATAGATAACCAAACGCTACTAATAATACAGATACTTTTCGGCCCGTAAAAATACAATAGACACGTCGCATCCTCTAAAATAAATAATAAACTTCTTTACATCACATGTTGCAAATATAACAAAAGAACATACTTTTAAAGTGAATTCTCAAAGGGTTAATTAATTAGATGTTTTGTAATAGAGTTATGTTAATAGTGACATACACTCACCATTAAACCAAAAAGTATCGACACAAAATTCCGGTCGAAAGTTTTCCAGCACGTTGGGAACGAAATCCATGATAATACAAATGATAGTAAAAATAAAGGGACTTCCCCAAGCAAAGATAGAATATATTAATTTTTTTCTCTCTTGTTTCGCTCTCTTGTTTCTTTGTAACAAACGAAAATCTCTGCGAAATGCAGAGTTTACTTTACAATTAATAAGTAATAAATAAACCAAATTGCGATGCAAATATTAAAATAAATATGCCTTCCAAATCTTTAATGTCTTCTTCATATAAACTATAAAAAGATTTATTTATGTTATATAATATCTCAAAATAATAAATATTATCATATATTCAAATATGTCGATATTTTAATAACATTAGATTAATTTTGATTTAGCAAAATGTTTAATAAAAAAATTAGAATTCAATTTCCGTAAAGAAGCTTGAAAATTTTGTATTATTATATAAAAAAAATTTAAACGATATTGGTTTAAGGTTTATAATATTTAAAAAAATGAAAAACCACAAAAAGGTTAATAATATTATATTATAAATTTTGAAATTATATTTTGAATTTTATTATAATTTAATATAACTTTATTAATAATTTAAAATATGTTATCATAAAAATATATTTTTCTTTAACAATTGAATGCTTATAAAGTACACATCACTTTTTTGTTTTAGAAAAAGCAGACTAGAAATTTCCAACAAAAAAAATGTAGATGTTTGTGAAATGCAACATGTGTTATATCTGCATTAAAATGATCGTTTCTTAAGGTAAATAATTATTTATAAATTACCAATTAACAAGATATATTCTTTCGGATCAGTGCAAATCATTATGCTTTTTATCTTTATGGATTGTTATAGACATAATCTAAATGTATTATTTATATATATATATATATATATATATATATATATATATATACAGGGTGTCCGTAGATTTTCGACCAAAATGAAATAAATAAGTAGATTGGCTCGAATTAAGAAGGAATGACCTGTATTGTTTTGGGATTGTCGCAGTAATTAACGAAATATTAAATAAAACAGATCGGCCAATCTGCGTGAGTAAAAGCGCGCGGCGAGGAGAGTCGTCCCACCGTAATCCGATACTACGAGCGCGGCGAAGCGGTGGGCGGGTCGCTCTCCGAGACATGATGGTGGTTTGCGATATATCGCAATACCGCGCCGAAAAATGACCCGTCCCCCCTTTTCGTGGCGAGAAAATGATGCGCTATCATTTCCACACCACCTTGCGGTAGATAGCATGGTGCGCTTTTTTTATAGTGGTTTCCCCCATAGGCCTATTCCACTCTCAATTTAAAAATTATTCAAAATACCATTTACCATACGCTGAGTATATCGTAAATGTAAAAAATTAATGGACAGTACCTTTACAAAAATTGATTCGTGGTTGAAAATCCCTCGATAAAATGTATTGCACACGTTGATAATGTGATACGATGATAAAATTCTTCAAGAATCCTTTCTTCATCTCGTACACGAAGACGCACTGCTGGACCGGTTATCCCGATATTATGCACGACACTCAGTTTCACATAATTATTGCACAACACGTAAAATTGTACGGCCACTTGGTTTTCGTGCACGCCCGAGAAATGATTCCATGTAAATTGCGGCCGCACGATAAGTATTTTCTCCCGCTAGTCCGTATGTCACAATCATATCCGTATATTCCTGCAGAGTACACTTCATTTTCTCTGTTAATTTACTACGCAAACACAAGATTTTTATTAAAACGTCTTAGCTCTCGCACGCTGTTACCAGACTGCGTACGCCAGCAGCACGCAACTACAGCTGACAGCTGAGCGGACTAAGTGTAATCATAGTGCGCAGGCGTCGAACTCACACGTACGCTTACACTCACATGTCCGCTCAGTTGTCAGCTGTAGTTGCGTGCTGCTGGCGTACGCAGTCTGGTAACAGCGTGCGAGAGCTAAGACGTTTTTATAAAAATCTTGTGTTTGCGTAGTAAATTAACAGAGAAAATGAAGTGTACTCTGCAGGAATATACGGATATGATTGTGGCATACGAACTAGCGGGAGAAAATACTTATCGTGCGGCTGCAATTTACATGGAATCATTTCTCGGGCGTGCACGAAAACCAAGTGGCCGTACAATTTTACGTGTTGTGCAATAATTATGTGAAACTGAGTGTCGTGCATAATATCGGGATAACCGGTCCAGCAGTGCGTCTTCGTGTACGAGATGAAGAAAGGATTCTTGAAGAATTTTATCATCGTATCACATTATCAACGTGTGCAATACATTTTATCGAGGGATTTTCAACCACGAATCAATTTTTGTAAAGGTACTGTCCATTAATTTTTTACATTTACGATATACTCAGCGTATGGTAAATGGTATTTTGAATAATTTTTAAATTGAGAGTGGAATAGGCCTATGGGGGAAACCACTATAAAAAAAGCGCACCATGCTATCTACCGCAAGGTGGTGTGGAAATGATAGCGCATCATTTTCTCGCCACGAAAAGGGGGGACGGGTCATTTTTCGGCGCGGTATTGCGATATATCGCAAACCACCATCATGTCTCGGAGAGCGACCCGCCCACCGCTTCGCCGCGCTCGTAGTATCGGATTACGATGGGACGACTCTCGTCGCCGCGCGCTTTTACTCACGCAGATTGGCCGATCTGTTTTATTTAATATTTCGTTAATTACTGCGACAATCCCAAAACAATACAGGTCATTCCTTTTTAATTCGAGCCAATCTACTTATTTATTTCATTTTGGTCGAAAATCTACGGACACCCTGTATATGTACACGTGCTTATTTTATCATATCTTGTTTGCGGCGTATAAAAAATATCACAATCTTATAAAAATAAATTTATATTATAGATAAAGTATAGCATATATATATATATATATATATATATATATATATATATACATAATAAACAATTTACCTAAATGTCCACCAAACGTCGAAACTCATTGCACTTAACCAGAAAAAGCTTGACAAAGAACAGAAATAGTCGAATAAAACTGTAGCAATAAAATAAACATTTTTAAAATTTCACTAATTGACAAGTATTTTGTATATCATTAAGAATTCTATTATAGTATAAAAAGTTTTTCTTCAACTTTAACAATAAGAATTTATCACAGAAAACAATATAATTAATTAATACACACTAATATTAAATTAAATAATGTTTTGATTTCAGTACTATATAACTGCACAGAATTTCAATAATATTGTAAAGAAAATATTAGATGAAGTAATTTAAATTGTGTTTTACGTTAAAATAAAATAAAATATTATTTTAATTTTTTTCACTATTACGCCTTGTTTATAATATTTTAATATATCATACATTCAAGTTTTATTGAAAAAATGATAATAAATTAAGTATCAATACACTTTTGCTAATGTACGATAAACTAAAATTTTATAAACACAAGAATTAATAGTGAAAAAAATTAATATTATTTTATTTTAATGTACAATAAAAATTAAATTACTTCGCCTAAATATTTTTTGGTACAAAAATTAATAAAAGAATTAATGTATATACTGCATTGACTGCATTATTACATGATGTGGCTGTACTGTACCAAATATAATACAGATGAAATATGAAAAATCAACTACGTCGATTGGATATAACAATTCAAATGTAATGTCAATTATGTATCCAAAAAATAACAAACTGCAGTATTTGCGTAGCATGAAACTATGTATGTTACGAAGCTCCGGCAGTATAGAATACACCACAAATGTTGTCAGCAAACATAACATAGACACTATACGGCAACTCAAATATAAAATTTTTAATTCTTCATCTAACATATCATTTATGAGTTCGTCTATCATGTCCATTTTCTCATCGATGGTTTCTTTAACAGCCTCCAAGCAGATAATTGCATCAAATTGATTATGATCCGCCAAACAATATGATGCTGATTCGACAAATATGTCGAAATAAGGAAGATACAGAGAGCTATTTGCGAAAAACATATACTTAAAGTATTTGAAATAATACTCCGGATAAAGAAAAAAACGTATAGTTTTCTGGCACGAATTTTGAACGATTAATGGAAAAACCTCGTCCACCTTCTTATTTCCGCTGTCTATCGAATTGTTTGAATAGCTATAAATGTTTGGAAAAACATATTCATTTTTACTAGCAATGCAATTCTTGCCAACCAAGAAATCACCGAGTGAACAACAGAGCTGAATGCAAGTAATATTGCTGCATTTTTTGTATGGAACGGTGTAATTTTTATTATTATCATTATTTGTTTTGTTTTTAATAAAGTTTATATGATTATATGTCTCCTCCCATATGTTGTCCTCTTTGTTGTCACTTGTAAAGTTTCGCGGAGTCATTGAAGATGAAGTAGAAAGTAAAATTATGAAAAGCCAAAATACAAAATTTTCACTGCACATCGTTAACAATTTGAGAACTCAATTTAATTTTTTTCTAATCTGCAATTTTTTAATCTGCTATGTTAGGAGCACAGCGAATTTTTTAAAATATGCATTAAAATATGCAAATATACATTGTTCGTTTGCGATGGTCAAGTCACGACAACATCATTTTTCTTCTAAGACAGAACTTGTAAGACAATTTATTATAAAATAATAGACACATTCGCGCGAATAATAAGACGCAAACATCATCAACAACAAACTTGCTAATGAAACAACTTAGTTGGTTGTCACAGAAGAATTTATTGATCTAAATGCCGTCAGGGACTGACCTAGTCCTACCCGCTTATTTTACTATTATTACTATTATTTACTATTATTAAACTTATAATTGCAAGTAGCTGCTTACACTGTCACGCAATAACACATGAGAAAAAATTTTCTTATAATAAAGTTAATTTAAAACATTGTATCATGTTCTATTCTTGTCGTTATCAAATATACATATAATATAAAATATGTTTGTATATTACAGAAAATTTTATTTCATGTTATATAATAAATTTTATTTTATGTTATATGATTAAAATTTTATTTCATGTTATATGATAAATCAATTCTGTAAAGATAATTTAAGATAAAACAAATTTAAAAAAAATAAAGATAAATATGAAATACATATA